TGGCACTCACTACATGACTCTGCGTCCCTCCACTGCTCCGCAGCGTGTCCCGCTGCCGTCTCCTCCTGCGTCCTCCCTACCTACTCTTCCTGACCCGGAGTCTGACGCCCGTCGTGCTGCCAGTCCCACTGTTACGCGTCTCCTTGCTACCGTTGTCACTGACCCTTCTTTTGAGTCCGCCGCTGCGTCTGCTCTGGTCGCTGAGTTAGTTGACTTTGCTGCTTGCTGTCGCCTAGACTACGCTGCTAGCCTAGTGGCTGAGTCTGAGTCTGAGTCTGCCTGTCCTCCGTCCGTCGGGGGTGCGTGTGCTCTTGGCACGGACGTCCTTGAGGACAGACAGGAGGAGTTCCATTGCTTTGCTGCTGCTTTGCCCCATCTCGTGTCCATGCTAGTTGCCCCTGAGGGAGACCCGGATGCACCAGACATCCCGACCCCGCGCACTTACGCTGAGGCGATGGCGGGTCCCTACTCCTCTCAGTGGCAGACAGCCATGGACGCAGAGATGGCTTCCTGGAAGTCCACACGCACCTACGTCGACGACGTCCCCCCTCCTGGGGCGAACATCGTCAGTGGCATGTGGATTTTCAGGGTGAAGCGGCCGCCGGGTTCTCCGCCTGTCTTCAAGGCGCGCTACGTGGCTCGAGGCTTCAGTCAGCGAGAGGGAGTAGACTTCTTCCAGACCTTCTCCCCCACCCCGAAGATGACCACTCTTCGGGTGCTGCTACACATAGCCGCTCAGCGCGACTACGAGCTTCACTCACTTGACTTCAGCACTGCTTTCTTGCAGGGCAGCCTGCACGAGGAGATCTGGCTGCGCCGCCCTCCTGGCTTCACTGGGCCGGTTCCTCCTGGCACCCAGTGGAGGCTTCAGCGGCCGGTCTACGGTCTCCGCCAGGCACCACGTGAGTGGCACGACACACTGAGGACGACACTTGCGACTCTTGGGTTCGCACCTTCTACAGCTGACCCGTCGCTGTTCTTGCGCACCGACACTTCGCTGCCGCCGTTCTACATCCTCGTGTACGTCGACGACTTGGTCTTTGCCACTGCTGACACTGCAGGACTCGCCTACGTGAAGTCGGAGCTGCAGAGGAGACACACGTGTACAGACCTGGGTGAACTGACAAGCTATCTTGGCTTGCGGATCACTCGGGACAGAGCACGGCGCACCATCACCCTGACTCAGTCGCACATGGTGCAGCAGGTTCTCCAGCGCTTCCGCTTCACGTACTCCTCGCCTCAGTCCACTCCTATGGCTACCGGTCACTCGCTCTCAGCTCTGCCTTCGGATGAGTCCGTAGAGTCGAGTGGCCCGTACCCAGAGCTTGTGGGCTGCCTCATGTACCTGATGACCTGCACTCGACCTGACCTTGCATACCCTCTTAGCATCCTTGCACGCTATGTCGCTCCTGGCCGTCACAGGAAGGAGCACATAGATGCCGCTTGTGCAGTACGTCGGGCATGGGGCTTGTGCTTGGAGGGCGAGACCGAGTTGTTCTCACAGGGCACTCAGACGCTTCTTGGGCAGACGACCAGGCCACTCAGCGGTCGTCTCAGGGTTACTCCTTCAGCCTTGGCTCTGGCTCAGTTTCTTGGCGCTCTACACGCTCTTCTTCTGTTCTCAGCTCCAGTTGCGAGGCTGAGATCTACGCCACAGCCATGGCTGCCCAGGAGCTACGCTGGCTGACCTACCTGCTGACCGACCTTGGGGAGCGGCCTCGTTCTCCTCCAGTGCTGTACGTCGACAACCAGGCAGCCATTGCCCTGTGTGAGGAGCACAGACTGGAGCACAGAACGAAGCACATCGCTCTGCGGTACTTCCTTGCTCGAGAGCTGCAGCAGCGAGGTCAGCTTCGTCTGCGTTACGTGGCCACCGAGGCCAACCTTGCTGATGTGTTCACCAAGGCACTTCCGCCTGTTGACCATCAGCGCTTTTGTACTCTTCTGGGCCTTGTGCCTACTGGACCTCACTTGCTCACTTCTTGACCTTGCTTATACTGTGATCATTATATATATATGCCTGCATGTCTACTCTTGCTAGGTTGTGATCATTGTATATCATGATCTGTTATAAACTTGCATGTGAACTGGGCTTGTGACCGCTAGTTTGTGCTCGGAATTTGTGTGGAACCCTTGAGGTCCACCCTGAGCTTGTTGTTGTCTTGCTTTGCCTTGACTGGTCTTGTGACCCCTAGGTCTTCCCCACTTTGCCTATGGGGGTGTGTCAAACATTATATGTTTATATTGTTCTAGGCTGTAGTGGGTGATACCTTAGGGGGTATACCAGGTTAGGGTTTCATATTTGTACTGTTGTTCCTGTTAGTCACACCATTCCTGCTCAGTTATTTCTGACAAGGTAGGAATATACCCGATGGTATTCTCACATGGTGGTGCCAACCTGGGAACCGCATACTAGAGTAGGTGCTTGCACGTTCTCCTTGAACAACGTTCTTCATGAACAACGTTCTCGTAGAACGTTCTTGCACGCGTCACTATGTTTCCTACAAGGCTCACGTTGTTTCATTTGTAATCTATCAATTAATGAATTTCTTTCTTTCCGTTACTCGATACCAAGCTTGTTGCTGCATACAATGGATACTGTTGTCTGAATACCTGTATCCGGTTTCCAGCAAGTCCGTATATGCAAAACTCGTGCTTCTCTCTCCGATCAAGCAACTCTGCACCTAGGTTGAGCGTGGATGCACACGCAAACTTCATATACCAGTATCCGGTTTCCAGCAACTCCGATAACAAAAATCGCCTAATTCCGCATGGTGCGCTGAACGTGGACGCACACGCAAACTTCAGATAGCCTCGTATACAATTGACGAAGTTGTCAAGGGCCGGCAGCTAATTCTACCCCGTATGGCAGGCAAAGGCGCTGCTACGGAAGTCATGGACCTGGAGGCGCATGTTGCTGCTTTGCGGGAGCGCCGCAGCGGTGGCGAAATCAGCACCGCGGATCTAGAGCTGATGATCGAAGGAGCTCGTGCGAAGTGGGCTCGCGATCACCCACCTCCTCGTGCTTATGCAAAATTTGAGCCCGCTTCTCCCCGTGCTTAAGGCAACAACGTCGCCATCGATGGCAATAAAGGCACAAAAGTTACGCGCGGTGAACTGCGAGGGGCTACCAGAGTGAACATCGTGAGCGTCGTGGAATGCAAGTGCATGATTTTCGGTCAGCCGCCGCAGTGAGTGCGCGTAGTGACGCGCACGGTCGTCGCAACTTTACACGACAAAGTGGTGGCGACCCTTGTGGACGGCAAAAGCGTCAACTGAGCACGATTGTGGAATCGCTCCAGAATACAGATACTTCAAGTTCTCACCTGACGAAGTTGCTCGGAGGGCGTCACCACTTGACAACGTGGGTCGAGATTGAGCCGCAATTGGAGATCGCACAGTTGAAGAAATTCGTTGACGGAACGGTGGAGGTGCCGCATGAGGAGGATGCTGAGCAGCGCGCGCAGTTTCATTCTGCAGAGCTGTTGACGTTTATGGTCATCTCAAGGTATTGCTCGCAGGTCGTCCAAGTTGCGTCGAAGCCTTGCCGTCTTCGGGTGGACATTGGTTTTCAAGCTTGGCAATCCATAATGAAAACCTACATTGGATGACATTTACATCGGTCAGCTGGAGATGGGGGAGAACGAAAGCACAACCGCATACTGCAATCGCACACAACAGTTTGTTGGAGATCTGCGTATGGCTAGCGTGGAACACTTAATGTCTTCGTATATCACGCATGTCATCGAAGGTCTGCCTGCAAGCTACAATCTCCTTCGACGCATGGTGAAACTCCCAGGTGTACATGAAGAGCTCGATGAGGATATCTTTTCGAGCTACATCATTGAAGAGGAGTTCACACTTGAATCCGAGTGGCGCAAGGAGCAGCTTCTCCCTCAAGTCAACTATGTCGTGTCAAAGTAGCAGCTGCAGCAACAGAAGTGGGGAAAATCGCGCGGAGCAGGCGACAATGACAAACAAGTCAACCGCGTGAAGGCGACTAAGAGTGACGAGCGTTTCAGGGGTGGAAAATGCAACTCTCAACGATGCTGCTTCATTTGTGGAGATCCCGAACACTTTGTGAATCAGTGCACCGACCACGTCAACAAGGAGGCTAGTCATCGCAAAAAAAGAAAGTCGCGATTTTTGGCCTCGAAGGTTTTTTCTGCGGAAAGTTGCGGATAATCAACGCACACAAATCGCAATATTTTGTACACCAGTGACACACATTGTCATCATATTTGGCAGTCACATTCCCGCAAACCTACCGGAAACACGTGGCGCCACTTACACCCCGCATCGCACTTGCGACTCCAGACCCAGTCATCCAATGTACTCGTTTTAGTGTCGCGGATCGTTCATTCCTGAACTGTATAACAGCCCGTAAAGTCTACATCTGACGCTGATGTATTTCGTCCACACATGTTGTGTGAGGATCTAGGCTCGAGCTCAGAAAAGAGAGTTTGAATTGAATGATCACCTGGGTACAACACGAGGCCCAGTAACCAGGTGTTACGCGGGTCGCGAAGCGTCCCGAACAGACCCTTCCCGAATTCGGTAGAAGGCAATTCGGTGGCAACTGAAAAGCCTAGAATTCGGTGTACGCAACCTAGCTCGGTGCTACAAACTATAATAATATAGGAAAGCACCTAGCCTAGGAAATCAAGCAATTCATGCATGCATAAAATAAACCTATGCTAGAAATAGCATAATAAAGTCTAAGCAAGCAAGCATAACTGGCATAAGCCGTCGTACTCTCACACGTTGTCACATTAATAAACATACTCCAAACACAACTTGAGCACACTTTCATCAACAACATGATCCACCGGCGTACTCATCACACACCGTTCCGCACACACAAAAGCTCACTACTTAGCCACACCACCATATCACACACTACTCGTTGTCCTCACTTTCCTGTGCCTCCGGGTTTGCCCCGTCCCTTCCACACACACCCGCGCGTGCACGCTTCACAGGCATCCTGCACAAGCGGGAAATCACCTCATGGTTTGATGCGTCGACCTCAGCTGGCACCGCGACCGGGGAAAACCGAGCTCATCGGCATGCTCCACATATGCATTGGTGACGTTACGAATCCCACGCCTCCTGCTGCGCTCGTGCCGCAGGAGTGGGCCACCCGGCAGGCTCATCTCGCCCAATGAGCTCGACGAAGCGCTGGCAGGTGATGTGGCTCTGAACCCCTGCTCCAAACAGAGGCCCGCATCGCAGTTGACGAACCCCGCAGCCGTCATATAACATGCAGGCCTCACTTTGAACTTCTCGATGAGCAACTGCAAATCGACGCATATCTTAATTGACGGCTTAAACATGCCGGTTGCACATGTGTCGTTCAGGTACGCCATCAATGGCTTCCAGCTCGTCGGCACGCACCCGGCGCGCCACCAACTCTTCTGCATGGTGGCCGCTCGCACCCGGGTCCACGCTTTTCCAAGATACTCGAGCATGTCGGCATAACCAACCTCAATGATGGCCGTCGAGTAGTCGAACTGGAACCGTCGGGACGTTATCGCGTGCCTTATCAGCATGACGCGGTAATGCGCCTTCAAAGCGTCCCCCACCGCCTGCATGTGCGGCAGGCCCGACCCAGGTACCGAGCCCCGTATGTTGACGATTGCGGTGTTCGTGAGATGGTGCACACTGAAATTGTGCTCCTCGATGGGCTGCGCAACTGCGCCGGTGATGCGATGCGCCTCGTGGATTGTGAGGATGAGGGTATTGCAATCACGGCTGAAATGTACACCATTAACCGTCTCCATTAACCGCGTGTAGTTTATCACTTAATACACGTGTGGCAAAGACAAATATACAGTACGCTTCACCCAGACTACCCACAACAATGACCACGTTAGAACAATACTAATGACGCGACACACGCGGACATACCTCCGGCGTCAACCGCCCACTCCTCGTATACCGAACGACCACCTTGCATGCAAGCGCCTTTGCTCTCCTTGGCTCGGGCCTCTCTAGCACCACCAGAGGCACCGCAGAACAAGTCCCCGTCGTGTTGTAGAGGATGCCGACGCTGACAATGCGCTCCATCACATTGCTCTTTTCTGGAATGTAGGTTTTCGGTAAACGGTTTGGGAGAAAGTTAAGCTCATGGAAACAGAACACGTCGTCAGGGTGTGCACTCGCTAGAAGTCTCTTCAGGTCACCCATTGTAAGACGCTGTCAAACCGTACTGCGGGTATGTGCTGACTCAAGTCCTTTCTCCTCCTATATATGTTTCATGTGACCATATCGCACCCCATGTTTGCCCCAACATGAACACTAGGGACAGCGGTCGGCATGCGCCACACCACCACCCAACCACAATCCGTGCGCTGCTGTCAGATAACCAATATCTGAGACACGCCCACCTGTGACGTTCATATAGGCGTCAGATATCCCCCCCCCCCCCTCCCTCCGCTACATACGCGTCACCAATATCCGAACGGCCAACCACGCGCAGGGTGCGCAGTCTCACCACCACACATTGTACTGCGTAAACACCGACTGCACATACAACACCACGTCCCGTACACGTTATTTGCACATTATGCCAAGATCATTAATTAGTGTAGTTCCATTCGGTACATGCTACATTCTTTGGTCAAACCACGAATGCACAAACTACCATGATGCCCACCTGTAAGCGGAAAGATTATCGCATCTAGTACTTACCACGACAAATCGCACACAAAAAACTACATTTCCTAACACAAAAGGAAAAATAACAGCGGCAGTATCCTATTAAAGTCGCAAATTTCAACTCCTACCATGTTAGTGGCTACACACCAATATTGTATAATCCCTATATCCCCTTGTTCACACAAGAGAAACTTGTTCACTAGCTGCACCTTCTTGTTGCTGTAGGAGGGGCACATGTGGACAACTCTCCGCAGGCTTTTCAGCTCCACCACCGAGTATCTCACCTTCTCCACCGTCTTTTGTGCAACTGCGTGCAGAAAGTGAGTGGGCACTTCCCCGCCTTCTCACAGTACCGCACATATGCGTACCCCTTCCAATCCCCATCACGGTCAACCGCCCTGAAGATGCACAAACATCTTGCATACCAATCCCCACCATTGTCGTTGAGCAGCGCCACGTCCAAATACCACCTCTCACGGGGTGACGCCTTCACAAATGTCCCAGCTCTCCGCCTCTAGTGCGCGGAATAGCCTGCCGAGTGGACCTATCACACCATCCCAACCAATCCAAACCCAAATACACAATATGAGTACACCATATGCAAACATGTCATGCATTGCTAGTATCATCAGTTGCCCATTGTGCACAGTCCACCTGCACGTTGTGAGTCGCCAACCCCAACGCCCTGAACTCCCCGACCATCCCCTTTATCTCGTCTCCAAGAGCTGCAGTGTACTCATCGATTACCGGATCTATCGGTCCGCCGATCCGCATTGTCCGATACTTCTTTGTGAGCACCGGTTTCCGGGTATTGATGGCCTGCACATCACATGCACATTACCACTATGAATCACACTCGGTATGATGCACGATTCCAACACCCTCTAGTACCCTGGCGCAGGGCATCCTTATAGAGCATAACAGAGACAACTCCAGCACACACCACGCGTAGCGCAGACGCGTACTGTCGCCCCCCACCCGCGTCTGCAGCCACCTCACGGTACACCTCGCGTCTGTTGACTGCCTCTGATCAGCTATGTCAAGGCCTCTAGATTGTCAAACATTGCATGTTTATATTGTCTAGGCTGTAGTGGGTTACACCTTAGGGGGTACACAAAGTTAGGGTTTCCTACTTGTACCAAACTCTGTTCTAGTTCATTCATTCCTGCTCAGTTATTCTGACATGGTTTCAGAGCAGGTCCTTCGCTAGGACTGTTCTCAGGGCCCACCGTACGATACCTACCTACCTACCTACTTACCGGAGCGCGTTCTTAGCGTCTCCCCCGTAGCGCCCTCGCGAGCGTTACCTTTTTTTTTTCCCCGGCCCCGCTGGCCCCGTCGATTGCGATCGCACCTACCGGCCCCGTTGGCCCTCTAGCGAACCGCCCGCGCACCGCCCGCGAACCGCCCGCGAACCGCCCGCGAACCGCCCGCGCGGCCTGCGCGCCGCCTGCGAACCGCCCGCGAACCGCCCGCGAACCGCCCGCGCGGCCTGCGCGCCGCCCGCGAACCGCCCGCGAACCGCCCGCGAACCGCCCGCGCGGCCTGCACGCCGCCCGCGAACCGCCCGCTACCCGCTGCCGGCCCGCGCGCTGCTTGCGCGGCCCGCAAGCAGCCTGCTGCCGGCCCGCTGCTGCCGCTAGTGCGCACCCGCAGCCGCCGCCGCACGCACCCGCTGCCGGCCCGCCGCTGCCGCCCGTACGCACCCGCAGCCGCCGCCGCACGCACCCGCTACCGGCCCGCCGCTGCCGCCCGTGAGCACCCGCAGCTGCCGCCGCACGCCCTCGCCTGCCGGCCCGCCGCTGCCGCCCGTGCGCACCCGCAGCCGCCACCGCACGCGCTCGCTGCCGGCCCGCCGCTACTGACTGTCCGCACCTGCAGCCGCCACCGCACGCCGCTACTGCCGGCCTACCACCGCATCCCGTGCGCCCCTGCGACTCCTGCTAGTGCGTCTTTACAGCTACTGCGGCTCTACTTTGTTTACTACTGCTGCTACTGCTACTATCGCTATGGCTAGCCCTCCCGTTCTAGCTTTCGACGCCGAGGGCCGTCCGGTGAAGTTCGACACCTGGCTCGATGACCTACACCTGTTCCTACAGCTCACGGCCAAGGAGGATATTTCTCTGTACGACCATGCTCTCGGCCACGCTACTGCCCCTCTTACTACTGCTACCCCCACTGAGCGCTCACAGTGGCAGACCCGTGACGCGCACGCTCGCTTCGCCATACGCAACTCCCTGCCGCTAGATGAGCGCGAGCACTTCGGCCAGTGCAAGACTGCTAAGGAACTGTACACCGCTGTCGTTGCCCGCTACTCCTCACCCGCTTCTGCCACGCTAGGCCGCCTCACTCTCCCCTACCTGTTCCCCGACCTGGCCTCCTTTCACACTGTCGCAGACCTCATCACCCACCTTAAGACTAGTGAGGCCCGCTTTCGCGCTGCCATGCCTGACGAGTTCCTCGCTAGCAACCCCCCCCCGCTCTGGATCACTCTCTACCACATCGTCACTCGCCTCCCTGACTCTCTCCGCGCAGTCAGGGACCACTTCCTCTCTCGCTCCCCCACCGAGCTCACCGTAGCCCTCCTCGAGAAGGAACTGCTTGCAGCTGAGGCCAGTATCGTCGCTGTAGGCACCTCTCGTGGCGACCCTCGCGGCCCCTTCTTTGAGGGGTGTTCCCCTTCCCCCCTCCTCCCCTCTGTCGCCTCTGCTGCTGCTGTCGACCTCCTTGGTGCTGAGAAGGTCGGGACTGCGTCTGCTTCGGGCGGGCGCCGCAGGAGCAAGGGGGGCAGGGGTGGGGGTGGCGGCGGAGGAGGCGGGGGTGGAGGTGGTGGCGGTGGAGGCGCGACTGGGGAGGCTAGTGGCGGTAGTGGGGGAGGTGACAGCAACGGTGGGAGTGGTGGCAGGGGCGGAGGCGGCGGCGGAGGCGGAGGTGGTCGTGGCAGCGGCAGGGGTGGAGGTGGCCGGGGCGGAGGCGGAGGAGGTGGTGGTCGTGGAGGCACGGGCGGAGGCCAGAGTCAGCAGCCTTCCCCGACGCTTCAGGCCGCCCGTGAGTGGTATGCGCAGCGCGGTTTTACCTGCACGTATGTTATTCGCACAGGCGACCGCACTGGCCAGACGTGTGGGAGGCCGCACCAGACGCAGCGCTGCTTCGCGCGCCTCAACGACGCGTGGCGCACCCAGTTTCCTGACGCCACTGAGCTGCCGCGCTGGGCTGATCTGGAAAAGAGGGGTGTTGATATCTGGGCTCTAGACTTTGATGCTATTCTCACTGCCATGTATGCAATGTCTATTAGTGGAGAGGGTGCTCAGTACTTGCGTGTTCCGCCCGACCCGGGCATTCAGGCCAGCCCAGCTGCTGCTCTAGGTGCTAGTGTGTCTGCTCCCACAGGTCCTGCTGCAGCAGCTGCCCTAGGTGCTAGTGCGTCTGTGCCCCCTGGTACTGAGTCGACTGCTGCACTGCACACCTTCACACTGGACTCAAGTGCTTCTCGCTCTTTCTTTCGTGACCGCACTGTCCTTGAGCCACTAGCTCGGCCGGTTGCTGTCTCTCTTGCTGACCCCTCTGGGGGTCCGGTCATTGCGACCTCCTCCACTACACTTCCGTGTCCAGCGGTTCCGTCCGGCACGCTCTCAGGTCTCTACCTCCCCTCGTTCTCTACGAACTTGGTGGCGGGCTGTGCTCTGCAGGACGGGGGTGTTCACCAGTTCACCCCTGCCTACGAGCGTGTGACACATTGCACGTGTGCTCGGACGGGCCGCCACCTGGCTACTTTCACTCGAGAGCCGGGGTCGGACCTGTACACACTGACCACTGAGTCCCCTCAGGTAGCTGCGTCTGCGTCTGCGTCTGCGTCAGGTCAGCTGTCCGCCCCCTGCTCATGTCGCTCTCTGGCGCATGAGACTGTCCTCTGGCACCACCGCCTTGGTCACCCGTCTGTGCAGCGCCTTCGGGCCATGCACAAACGGGACCTTGTTGCTGGTCTTCCCAGGGTGCTCCCTCCCCTTCCCGACTCCCCTGCTCCTGACTGCATTCCCTGTGTCGAGGGGCGGCAGCGCGCCGCTCCTCACTCCTCCTCCTTTCCCCCGACGACTGCTCCCTTGCAGACGCTCCACATGGACGTGTGGGGCCCAGCCCGCGTCAGTGGACAGGGCCAGGAGAGGTACTTCCTGATAGTTGTTGACGACTACTCGCGCTACACCACGGTCTTCCCCTTGCGCTCCAAGGGTGACGTCCCTGGTGTTTTGATCCCCTGGATCAGCCGAGCCCGTCTCCAGCTAGGCAAGCGCTTTCACTCGGACTTTCCTGTCCTGCGCTTGCACTCTGACAGAGGTGGTGAGTTCGCCTCCGACCTCTTGGCAGCCTACTGTGCTGAGCACGGCATTGAGCAGTCGTTCACGCTTCCGGCCTCTCCACAGCAGAATGGGGTCGCTGAGCGCCGCATTGGCTTGGTCATGGAGGTCGCTCGTACCTCCCTGACCCATGCGGCTGCTCCCCACTTTCTGTGGCCGTTTGCGGTCCGGTACGCC